TTTTTTTTTTTTTTTTTTTTTTTTTTTTTTTTTTTTTTTTTGAACTCAATAAGAGTAACTCTTAAGGGATGCGATATTGTTAAATTACCTGGATTGTCATCCTCATCAAGTCTATCACAAGAGATGATGGATGATCAGGTTGGATGCATTCGTCTCAAGAATTAAAAATAGAAATTTAAAATTAAGAATCAAAAAACAAAAAAATATATATAAAATTGAAAAACTAAAAAATGAAAAGAAAGAAAAAAAGCGCAAGCGCCCAGGAGGAGGTCGCACTTGCCTGGATTCTCCCATCTTCGATCTGCTCCATTGATTACGATGAGCGACGCAATCTATGGACCAGATACAGTGAATCCGGCTAAGTGAAGGGGACCTGGCCGCAGATGCTGGATCAACACTGTTGCTGAGCTGGAAAATCAATCTGGTTGAAAGATGTAGACTCTGGGCCTAGCTCCACTACTCCGTACTCTAAATGCATTTGGACGCCTTTTTGGGTCAAGTGCGTTTGGAGGACTCCAACATCGAACGTATCGGGACGATAACGAGATCCAGATACAGATAGAGTGTTGTGCAGTGGTTCGAGACCCCATGCCGCCGTGCTATAAATCTGGAAGCCATTTTGTTAGCCATCATTACATCGCGCAGAAGTGACTACAGCGCAATTAATTTTTATTTTGTTATCCACCCCCCACACACACACACCTCTTACGAATGGCGACAGCCTTGAGATATCTCCTCATTCCCTTTCCACAAAAAAAAAAATTAAAAAAAATCCTCATTGAACTGTCTGGCCCCAGGTAATTTAGATTAGAGTGATTTTATTCTGGTCATCTTGTTGCATCTGGGTTCGAACTCATGCCGTCTGTATTTAGGGACCAGACCAGATACCGTGAATCCGGCTAAGTGAAGGGGACCTGGCCGCAGTTCATGGGTGTACCAACTGAGCTAAGCCCATCATCGGTAGCAACATATATATCTGTTTGTGACGAAATATATCGTCACAAACAGAACTGCCCGGTAAAACCGTAGGCAGAGAGAGAGAAGAGGACAACAAACGAGGGGCTGTGACAAACTGTTTCGTCGGAGTTTCACCGACTCATCAGGAGGCTGAACATATATGTATATAATATATTTATATATATATTTATTTATATTTTTTCCCTTATTCAGAATGACTTTCTTCTGTCCAACAACTGATAGTATCTGGACTGGAACTTGAGTCTGTATTTCAGCAGCTCATGGTTGTACCAATTGAGTTAAGTCCATCATTGGTAGCAATGCAATTAATTCAGCGTTGGGGCTAAGCTGGAAGATCAACCTGGTGGAGGATATGAATTACTTCAAGTTAATTCTCAATGCAGCTATTTTTAGCCCAAGTTAATTCCCAATGCAGCTATTTTTAGCCCAAGCTAATAGTCAATGCAGCTATTTTTAGCACAAGTTAATTCTCAATCCAGCTATTTTTAGCCCAAGTCAATTCTCTCTTCTTTTTTTTTTTCCCGAAATTGCACTTTTATTAACAAGGCCCAGTGCCCAAGGCAGTTACATGATCAAGATAGTCAAAAACAGGGACCACAGGTTGTCCTGCCCCACCTGGATCCAGGTATTTTTAGGCATCATCACAGAGAAATGACGACAGAGCCAAAAAAAAAGAAAAAAACAACTGTTTAAAAATAGGGGCTCGTTCCACACTCCTTGAAGCGGCCTCGGGGCCGAAGGAAGTTTCCTTGGGGGTTTTCAAGGAAATTCCCGCCATCGTTCCACCTGTCCTCGAGGACGTCGCCCGAGGACATTTCCTTCGAACGATGTCAGACAAGAAAAAGAAAAGAAAAAAAAAATCAATTGTGTTTGAGGCCTTCAGCCAATAGGRTGCCGCCACGATCCAGATTCTCGGCTCGGTTGTAACGTCTCTCTACCCATGTGCCCGCTCCTCTCCGTGAAACGCGGATTCCTCAAAAGGAAGAAATGGCTGGGGAATCCTCGGAGCCCAAGGAATTTCCTTCGGAATGTTTTCACTTTTTTTGTCCGACTGCATCCCCGAGGATAGGTGGAACGAACAATTCCGCCCGAGGAGTCGAACGAGCCCCATAGTAGCGCAGGGAAGAAGAAGAAGAAGAAGAAGAAGAAGAAGAAGAAGAAGAAGAAGAAGAAGCGCAGGTGGGGAGATCTATAATGGGAGATCTATAATAGGGGCACAGATCGCGACAGCAAGATTAGCATATCGCTTTCCGCTCCCTGTCCACGTCTTCTCTCTCTTTCTTTCTTG